ACTATGTTGGCCATAGATTGCTTTGTGCTCATTCTGGTGGTTGAGGAGATGTGCAGAGCCCACCAGGGTTGTCCCTGGGTGCTCAGGGGCCACATGGTGGGAGGGGCCAGGTGGTGCCAGGCCTGTGGGAGCCAGCTCCACCGACCCTCTGCCTGTTCTGTGATTTCGTTGCCTTCTTTTTCACTCTTTTTTTTTTTTTTTTTTTTTTTTTTTTTTTTGCTTTTTGGGTCACACCTGGTGATACACAGGGGTTACTCCTGTCTCTGCACTCAGGAGTTACTCCTGGCAGTGCTCAGGGGACCATATGGGATGCTGGGAATCGAACCCGGGTCGGCCGCGTGCAAGGCAAATGCCCTACCCGCTGTGCTATCGCTCCAGCCCCTTCTTTTTTTCTCTTTATGCTGCAGGGACTGAGCCATTGCCCTTGCATTCTTTGGCCTTAAGAGGCTTTGCATTCAATGATACCAGCCTGTTGAGAGTGTATTGAGGTTTGATGGCCTATGGCGTTTGAACTGCCAGGGAGAATGTTCCAGGTGCTCTTGACAAGCATCATACTCTGGCATTCTTGGGTCCAGTGTTCAACAGACCAACTGAGGTGGATTTAGAATGTTGCTCAGGCTGTTTCCTTGTTGACCTTCTGCCCCTTACGCATTTTATCTGCATAAATGGTTTCTCTCCTCCTTCTAATAAGAAATTTTATCTTGAAGTCCGTGTTGTCAGCCACGAGTTAACTTCTTTAACTCCCTTTTGCTAATGTGTTTGAAAAGTATCGTGTGTGCGTGCATGCATGCGTGTGCGCGCGCACGTGTGTGTGTGTGTGTGTGTGTGTGTGTGTGCGCGCTCTTAACACAATCTGCTTAAACCTAGATTATGTTTCTAAGAGACATAGTATAGCTGGATATTTTGTTTCTGACGAGGCAACAATCATCAAGAACTTTTTTCCTAAAAATAATTTCTAGGGTGAAGGAGATGGCTCAAATGGGTGGAGCAAAGGCTTTGCATGTGGGAACCTCAGTTTTGAACCTCAAAGCACCCCATGGTCCTGTAATCTCCTGAATGTGCACCTCCCACCCTCAAATCAAATAAAATAGTTTCTATTCTATTGATACTGGAAAATATGTCCTGTTACTTTCTACTTTTTGACTTTGTCTATTTGTAATGAATAGACACTGTCCACTGTCCTGTAGCACTGTCCTCCCGTTGTTCATCGATTTGCTCAAGCGGGCACCAGTAATGTCTCCATTGTGAGACTTGTTGTTACTGTTTTTGGCACATCGAATATGCCACGGGGAGCTTGCCAGGCTCTGCAGTGCAGACGGGATACCGTCGGTAGCTTGCCGTGCTTTCTGAGAGGGACGGAGGAATTGAACCTGGGTCGGCCGCATGCAAGGCAAACACCCTACCCACTGTGCTATCACTCCAGCAGTGAATATAATTACATATAAAATAGGATTTCTTGGCCGTTTGTGATTGTTTTCTGTATTTGATGTCTTTTGTTCCTGCTTCTCCAATACTGCATTCTGTTGTGTTAAAGACTGACCAGTGTATTATTTAAATTGTCTGGACATTTTCTTTTCTGTATACCTTTGAGTTGTAATTTTAGTGACTGTCCTGAGAACTGCAAAAGACTTTTTAACTGAGTACATTCTATCTGGGGACTGGAAAGAAGCACTCAACAGCCTGGAGTGCACAAGATGTGATCTCTGACACTACGTGGTCTTTCAAGCATAGACAGGAGTGACCCCCAGACACCAAACCAAAAGTAGTCCCTGAACACTGCTGAGTGTGATCCCAAACAAAACAAAAACAGAACAAACAAAATTTTGTTCTGTTTTTAGTTCGTGGCATTTAATTTCAATAGCACAGAAAAAATGTTCCAATATAGCTCCATTCACTTCTCTCTTCTTTCTATTATTATTACCACTTATGTTTACTTTCTCCTAAGCCTGTCAACAATGTTAAAAATTATACTCTCTGCAGATGTTTTTATTTTATTTATTTTTATTTTTTATTTTTTTGCTTTTTGGGTCACACCTGGCAATGCACAGGGGTCACTCTTGACTCTGCACTCAGGAATCAACCCTGGCGGTGCTCAGGGGATCATATGAGATTTTTTTTTTAAATCAAATGGAATAGGGCATGCATTATAAGCACAATTGCCCTTCTTGTGTAAATATTTTTACTACTGCTTTTTATTTCTTCAGTGTGGACAATAGTTACAGTGTAAGGCAGTATCTTTACTGGTTTTAACCAGAAAGTTTTCTGATTATAGACTTCCTGAGTCCTTTTCCTTTCTAATCATTAAATATGTTTTCCATTGGTATTTGCTGCCCCCCCCCCTTTTTAAAATTGTTTATTGATTGTGGCACTGCAGATTGAATCCGGGGCCTCACAAGTATTAGACAAATGCTTTACCACAGAACTTCGTTACCTCTTTGGCTCCCTTGGTTGTTTCTCATTTGAAGTTGTGAATCATTTTCACAACCCCTTGTGTAATTTCTTTTCTCAGGAGAGGCCAATTCTTGTGTTGTCCAGGCCAGTGGGTTTTGACCAATGTATACTATGCTGTAACATTATAGTGTCATACAGAATTGTTTCACAGCCCTCAATTCCCTGTTCTCTCTTTGCCTCTTTCTCCCTTTATCTAACTCCCTGAATAATGCTGCTTTTGTTACTGTTTTTGGGCCAGACACAGTGGTGCTCAGGGCTTGCTCTGGGCTCAGTGCTCAAGGATCACTCCTGGGGGTTCTCAGGGATCTTCTATGGTGCCAGAGATTGAAGCAGGGTCTTCCACAGACAAGGCAAGCCCCTTTAATCCCTGTATTCTCTCTCAGCCTTATCTTTGTATGAGTTTGATAGAATTACTGAAAATCTCAATTTGTTCTATATTTTCATACTTTCTTTTAGCTCTTTAGGGTTTTTTTGTTTGTTTGTTTTTTGTGTTTTCATTTTAAACATATTCCTCATCACTGACTTGAAAGTCTTGTTTCAGCTAAATCCCAGGCTTCCTTGGAGGAAGTTGTTATTTACTGCTAGTTTTCCTTTATGAAGAAGAAGTCCATAATTCCTTAAATGCTTGTAATTCTTTGTTACGTGTGGAATTTTTATGTGTCGTGTTCAAAATTACCCCTGCCCTGCTATCCATTTGTTGTTGCTGCTGCTTAGTTTGTTGTTATTCTAATTGCTTTAATTTTCTAAAGTTTGTATTTGTTGTGTGAGCCTCTTAGGTCTCTGTCTGCTCAGTAAGTTGAGAAGTCATGCAATAATTATAGGCTTTGGTTTGCTGGAACCAGTATGGATCAGGAGCTGCTCTGATTTTAAATGATTTTAAAAAATACATATATGTATGTGTGTGTGTGTGTGTGTGTGTGTGTGTGTGTGTGAAGTGGGACACAACGATTATTCCTGGCAATGCACTCAGGGATCACTCCAGGTAGCAGGCAGGTCTTAGGGGAGCTTCGACCACATGGGGTGTCAGGGATGGAACCCAGGTTGACCACATGCAAGACCAATGCCCTACCCACTGTACTACTGCTCCCACCCCTAATCATTTAACGCAATTTTAATGATTGAGGTACTGGGGTATTTCATCCGTGTCTCCCAGAGTTTGCTCTTGGAAAGATTTGGAGTAGGGTGATGATGGCGATGACCGTTATCAGCAGATAAGACAAATGGATAAAGAAGATAGTTCTACTGCATGAGCTCTTTAATAAGCCGGTGCAGACCACTGCGAGGACTAGGATGTTGTGGGTTTCCCAGCTCTAATGGACCAGTGTGCCATTCCTTTACACATGCTGTGGGGAATGCACTGAGAGTTTCCTTTCAACTATGGCGATGAAAATTGCAGCATGTTTTGATACCATTGGTAATTTTCAAGCACTTTGAGAAAAATAGGTCAGACAGGAGGGAAAGAAATTTTGAAAGAGGAAAGTCAGGACCAGGAGGTGACTCAAATGAAGGGCATGTGACTTCCTTGTGTGAGAGACCCAGGTTTGATCTCAGGGCCCCAGGGCCCTCTGACATCACCAGCTGTGGTCCTGGTGGTTTCTGAGCACTCAGGAAGTAAATAACCCCCATAAGAACAGAGACTATAAAACCCAGCTCCCGGAAGAGAATGGCACAGAGTCTCCTGCCCCCGCGCCTGGCTGTCCTCGCCGGGGTCCCTTGGGGGGAGCGGGTTGAGTTTCCCTCCCCTCCCTGACCAGGGCTCCAGCAGCCGAAGACCTCCAGAACCAGCAACCACCATGCGGAGACCACTCTCCACACGCATGAAGGTACCAGCAGAGGAACAAAGGCATGCGGGTCCCGGGGCTGAGATCTCCAAGCCTGCTTGGATCGGGGCTGAGCGTCCTCCACCCAGATCCTCCAAATTCCAGTAGGCAGGGGTCACACCCACCAACTGGCCCCCTGGCACCGTGTAATCCCATCAACGGCCAAGACACAGAGACTAGAAAACCCAGCTACATCTTATCTCATTCCTACTTTGGACAAACTGGCAGGCTAGCCAGCGACATCTTATCTCATTCCTACTTTGGACAAACTGGCAGGCTACCGAATGTAATGTACCGAATGCGCCTGCCCACACGGCAGAGTCTGACAAACTCCCCATGGCGTACCCAATATGCCAAATACCAGTAACAATGATGGGTCTCATTCTCCTAATCCTGAAAGAGCCTTAAATATGGCACTTTAAAAAAAATCTCAGGGCTAGGATGAAGGAGATGTTACTGGGCCTGCTTGAGGCAATCGACGAACAACAGGATGGTCGTGATCATGAAAAACAGTAACAAAAGAAAAATAAAGAAATTAGGCAGCCATAATTTTGAAGGAAAAAGAGAAAAGTAGATATATACGATTAGCCCAATGAATTAGTCTAATGTGCATCGTGAGTGTGATGCTTATGTGTGTGTCTGTGTACCTGCCTCAGTCAATTTTCCTTTTCATTTTGCAGAATTTGTAAAAGCCAGCGGGGCTAGATCACCATTGTGGAATCCCAGGTACATTTGAGAAATCGACCCATGAGTGACAAGTGCCGTGTGTAACAGCAGCAGAGAACTGAATGCTCCCGACTCTCCTCAAGCCTAAATGATGACATTAGTCTACATATACTACTATTGGTTAGTTTTTCAAAAATATTATTACTACCCACCATTCATTTATCCACCGTTTATTTTCAAAGTAAATGTTTGAAAAGTCAAGTGTTAGTTCTGATGTTAGAGACTGTTTCAAATTTGTAAATCTGATATGGAGACAGTTGATGTATTTGACTTTCTTTGTTGAAAAAGCAGCATTTGAGCGCTGGAGTGATAGTACAGCAGGAAGGGCAATTGTTTTGCATATGGCCAACCTGGGTTTGATTCCTGATAGTCCCCTGAGGCCACCAAGAGTGATCTCTGAGCTTGGACCCAGGAATAATTTCTGATCACAGCCATGTGTGGTCCCAAAACCAAAACAAACAAAAAAAATCCCCTCACCAATGGCATTTATTAGAGAACAAATTAACAAGTATATAACTTTGTTAACTTGAAGCAATATTTAAAAGGTTTAGAAGCAGTTCATTACCTTTTTATTTATTTGGGGCCCACGTTCAGTGGTGCTTCAAAGCTATTCCCAAGGATGCTGAGGGGAGCAGGCAGTGCTAGGGATACAACTTGGGCTCCAACAAGCAAGGCATGCACTCCAGCCCCTAGTATTTTATATAATAATAGTGAGTTGGGGTCTTGTAATTAGATTATAGACAAAAAGTCTCTCACAAAAAGACTTTTATAAAATTACAATTTATATGCAACTGTTGTTTTTCTGCCACATTACTATAACCTGTTACCACTAATGTAGAAAATATAGGGCTGTGTCTTTTTTGGATTATGTATGACTTCTCTTTCTAAATGAATTAACTTTGCACAGTCTCAAAGCTGACCTTGTTTCTGCTGGGTCTTTTGGTGTGTACTTCCTTCCTTCAAAGATTCTTAAAGACACGCTATTTTTTTTTAAACCTTTCCTGAAGTATACCTCTCATTCTAAACTGGTAAAATCTTTGATCTCTTCAATTCCTGGAGCTTTCTGAATCCAGCTGATCAGCACTGATGGTAATCAGGAGGAAATCATTAGTAAAGACCTCAAATGCTCATTAGCAGATCAAAACCACACTAGCTATCTGGGATGTTCAATAATTATAGCCTTGGTCTTCAACTGTATTTTGTTTTCAACTTCTGAACATACCTGAGAGACAAAATGTTGATTGTAACATATTTCAGCAGATCCTTATACTCAGCTTCTTAAAAAACAAAACAAAACAAAACAAAACACAGATACCAGCATCAGCAGGTTTTTCTGTAATACTAACCCTTTCTGGTTGACTCACATTGTTTTTGTTTTAAACACTTTTCCTCATAGCAAAGATGACAATTTTTAAGACTAAGGTGTGATATACCATTTATAGGTGACCTTCATTTTTTTTTTTCTTTTAGGGGTAGTTTACACTGCAAGTTGCTTCTGGACTTCTACTAAATACGCCCTGACACCTCTCAGGTCATGGTGAAGGAAGATCATTGGTGCTGAGAGCCCAGCATTTCCTTAAACAGGGGTACGTTCCCAGTGGTTGTTTGAAATGCTGTGGAGGCTGCTACCCAGAAGACTTTTGTGTTTTCCCACTAAATACTTCATCTGGCTTCTTATTTTTTCCCTCGTCACTTTCACTATTCTAAGACTTCATCAAAAGCCATTTGTAAGTGTTCACCATCTGGAGCTGCGTGGTGAGAATCCTAGTAGTGACATTAATTGCACCAAAGTCTTGCAAGGCAATGAAGAGGAAATTGAAAAAGTCAAGCTTGAGCTCCTAACAGTGAAATTTCGAAAGCAACCTCGATGGACCACCTACGACTACATAAACATGACCAGCGATTGTACCTCTTTCATCAAGAGGCGCAAGTATTTCACCGAACCCCTCAGTAAGGAAGAGGCTGCGTTTCCAATAGCCTATTCGATAGTGGTCCATCATAAAATCGAAATGTTTGACAGGCTCCTGCGCGCGATCTATATGCCCCAGAATTTCTATTGCATTCATGTGGACAAAAAGTCGGAGGAATCCTTTCTGGAGGCGGTAACTGGCATTGCGTCCTGTTTCAGTAATGTGTTTGTAGCCAGCCGGCTGGAGAATGTAGTCTATGCTTCATGGAACCGTGTCCAGGCAGATCTCAACTGTATGCAGGACCTGTACAGCATGAGTGCGACTTGGAAGTACTTGATCAATCTTTGCGGTATGGATTTCCCTATCAAAACCAACCTGGAAATTGTCAGGAAGCTCAAGTCCTTGATGGGTGAAAACAACCTGGAGACAGAGAAAATGCCACACAATAAAAAGGAAAGGTGGAAGAAACACTACACAGTGGTCAATGGGAAGCTGACGAACACTGGCACCGACAAAGCGCCCCCTCCTCTTGAGACACCTCTCTTTTCCGGCAGTGCCTATTTTGTGGTTAGTAGGCAGTTTGTGGGGTATGTGTTAGAGAATGAAAGAATCCAAAGGTTTATGGAATGGGCAAAGGACACGTACAGCCCTGACGAGTATCTCTGGGCCACTATTCAGCGCATCCCCGAAGTCCCAGGCTCCGTGTCCTTAAGCCACAAGTATGACATGTCTGACATGCTTGCCATCGTTAGGTTTGTCAAGTGGCACTACTTTGAAGGTGATACTGCCAAGGGCGCTCCCTACCCCCCCTGCAACGGGGTCCATGTGCGCTCCGTGTGCATCTTTGGAGCAGGTGATTTGAAGTGGATGCTGGGCACCCACCATTTATTTGCCAATAAATTTGACACAGATGTTGACCTTTTTGCCATCCAATGCCTGGATGAACATCTTCGGCATAAAGCCCTGCAGGCATTGAAATACTGACCACTGCAGGGAGTTTTAGGAACAGGAAGAGGCCTAAGTGGTGGCCTTACCCGGATCTTCTGTCCTGATCCCAAGCATTAACAGAGGGTGCTCACAGGGCAATCAAGTTGTGTGGTTTCTGCAATGCACAGTTGGTGAAAGAGCATGTGGCACTGAACACCGAGCTTGTATCAGTGCAGGGCACTGTGGGGCCAGGTTGCCTGGTGGCTGGCGAGAGGCAGAAGACAAACTGAACCTACTCAGAGAGCTCAGGGATGTGACACAATAGTGAGGTTTGACCTATGCCAAAATGCACATTGAGAGTTCTAAGGACGGTCGTTGTCCTTGCTCGAACAAATTTACAGCAATAACAAATCATGAGGGCGTGATTTCTCTTGTAGATTTAATGTGGAAATATGAAATTTGCCTGTTCTCTGAATGAGCTGGGTAAATAGTTTACTTTCTGCTGTAGCATCATGCCATGTGGGGTATCAGTCCACGTTTTCTCAGGGAACTTGATTGAAACATTATTTTTTTTTCTGGTGAGATTTTGCTTCTAAGAAATGTACATATGTTTTTAAAAGCAAAAAATGTTGATGATTTCTAGATTAGTTGATTCTATGAATCTTAGAAAAGCTGTCATTTTAGATTTGTGAAAAATGTTAAGGTACCCTTTTTAATATGATTGTTTCTATGAATAACACTTTATTTTTCCAAACACTTGTGTCTTCTTCCTTTTGGAATCCCAAGGCACCTGCTAGCAAGATGTATTTAAAACGAAAACAAACAAACCCATGTTGTTTTGTTTTGTTGTGTTGCTGGGGATAAAAAGACCTATTTTCTTAGTTTTGTATTGTTGCCTTAGTTCTCATAAGTGATCCGATTGATGGTTATTGGTATAAAGAGCTGACAAAGGAGGTCTGGGAGGAGGTTCAGATATACACTGTATCTGAGGCATGTGGTGTGTGTTAGCCAGCAGTTGGCACCATCTCCAGAAATGAATACTCTGTCATCCCAGGTTTTGCTTCCTCAGGCATCTAACAACATGGAAGGCTCTGGTATCTGCCCTCCCTGATTCTTCTGCTCACCCAACACTGCTGCCTGTGGGTGGTTCTGAACCCACTGGATCTTAACTTTTGGCTTTTCCTGGGATCTTCCATGAAGAGGGAATAGGTGTGCTTTTTTCTGAGGCATACTTGAAGGCTGAGAACCGCAAAGGAACAGAAGGTTTGAGATTGGATTTTCTTAGTATTGATAGTCAAAGCATTTGATTTTCACTCCACATCTTCACCCAAAGAGAGCTGAGTGATTCTCACGCTGTCTCGAGTCCCGGGGATGCACTTAGCAGTGCAACACCTGCCTTGCACATGTGAGACCTTAGATTCAATCCGTAGCTCTGCAAAAGATATACAGCGTAGTCAAAGTAAATGAAGATTTAAAAAATAAGAGACTTGCTCTTTTGCTAAGCAGAAAACTCTTCAGCCAAAGATCACACAAGAAACGTGAAGCTTTATTATTTTGTTGAAACTTTGAGAACAAGAACCAAAACATCTACTTTATTTCTAAGCCTAGTAAAGGAAGAGTGCTTTATGAGAAATTAACATCAATAGGCTATTTCACGGCATTCTATTGAGAAAACGGCTTCCATTCCTCAGAGTTCAAAAATATTCTTATTTTGTGGAAATTTTGGGGATTCTCTTCCTCCTTAGTGGAAACTCTGTGTTTTTGTATGCTTATCTTGCTTATAAATCTTTCCTCAGTGCATCGCGGTGTTTTGCAGAGTTTAGCTCTCAGCCAATATTAGACCAAGAGCTCCTTCGGTTTGGACTTGATAAGTGATGTCAATGAGGGCATTTTATGCACAGTTAAGTCTCTAATAGCTTCTAAACCCATTTCTCTTAATTTATTTTTTTTGTTTCTTTTTTCCTTGTTTATGGTGCTCAGGATTTATTCCTGGCTCTGTGCTCAGGAGTCATTCCTGGAGGGTTTGTGGAACCCAATGAACCTGGGTTAGCCGCGTGCTAGCTCCTTGCCCCTCTAACTCCATTTGTCCTTTTAATTTTGAGTGTTTTTTATTATTTGTGAGTATTTATCCTATTTTACTTAGATGAAAAGGTTTTACCGTTAAGTTAGGGTACTTTTTTTTTTAACTCTGAAACCAATAATTTCTCATGACACATATTTTGTACCTGTGTCTTTTATTTATAACTTGATTAAAAATAAAACATTTACAGATCAGAGCTGGAGAGATAGTACAGGAGGTAAGGCATTTGCCTTGAATGTGGCAACCCTGATTTGAATCCCTGGCACTACATGTTCCCCTGAGAACTGCCGAGGGTCATTTCAGGGCCCCAAGCAAGCAATTACCTCAAAGCACAGCCAGATGTGACCTCCAAACAAACAAAAAACCAAACTCCACTTTCCAAAAAATACACAGATCTTCAGAAAAGTTTAAAACTGAAGTACAGTGAATATTGCTTGGCTTGTGTTAATTCCACCTCTCATTTAAATTATATGGAATTTTTTATTTTAGCCAAAATAAGATTAAAAATTATAAATAATCAGAGTTGTGTCTCCTAATGTTCTTATTCTCTACCAGAAATATAAAATACCAGATACGAAAGCCTTTGTCCCCCAAACCATACACTAATTTTGGGGATCAGTTATATTTTATGCACCTGTGATACCTCATCTTTCTAGAATGGCACTTATTAAAGTGCCACAAATTGTTGAAATGCCTGTTATTAAAATATCATTGTTAATACTTGTTACGTAGAATTAATTTATTGGGACTCAGTTTTATGCTTTTCACTATAACTTAAAGCAAATATAATATACAACTGCAACAGGCAATTTTAAGAATCAAAAGGATGGTTTCAAAAGGAAACCCATAGTTTATTCAAGAGGCACAGAAAAGAAAGCTTTGGGGGGAGGCTGGAGTGACAGCACAGCGGATAGGGCGTTTGCCTTGCATGTGGTGACCCAGGTTCAATTCCCAGCATCCCATATGGTCCCCTGAGCACCGCCAGGGGTAATTCCTGAGTGCAGAGCCAGGAGTAACCCCTGAGCATCGCCGGGTGTGACCCCCCAAAAGAAATTAAAAAAAGAGAAAGCTTTGAGGCTGGAGAGATAGTTTAGGGGTTAAGGTGCTTGCCTTATACACAACTGACCTAGTTTTATCCCTAGCACCCATATGTCCTCCAAGCCTTTCAAGGAGTGATTACTAAGCACAGAACCAGGAACACCACTGAATATGGCCCAAACCCTTACTTCCCCCACAAAAATGCAAGTTCTTTGGGAATGATAGAAATTATATAGATTAGTTTTATATGTATGTTATTGAACATATATTTTTACTGTCATTCAAGGCCTTTTATATGGAATTTATTAGAAATAACGTTAAAGAACTCCTTAAATATGTAAAAACTTTAATTTTGTGATGCAAGGAATCTAGTTAACTAAGTACTGTATGAGAAAAGTAAAAAATATGTTTATATATATATCTGTATTATTAAGAAGGAATCAATTCTCTTGTATCTGTACCTAGATTTTTCCACACTATGGTAAATATCCATCAGGACTTGAAAAAGCAGAGAATGTTGTTTCTAAACCTGTATTTGTATAATTTATCAAGCACAATTCACTTAAATGACATCAATGGATTTGCTGTTGCAGTTTTTTGGGGAGTGGCTTGGAGAAAGCTAAATGTTAGTTAATTTAACTGTCAGTGGAACTGGACATTCTCAGTTGTCTTAGAAAACTAAAAATCATTTCTCATGTTAAATATCAAGCAAAGCCACTACTTTCTTTTCTTTTCTTTTCTTTTCTTTTCTTTTTTTTTTGCTTTTTGGGTCACACCTAGAGGTGCACAGGGGTTACTCATGGTTCAGCACTCAGGAATCACCCCTGGCGGTGCTCAGGGGACCATATGGGATGCTGGGAATCGAACCCGGGTCGGCTGTATGCAAGGCAAACGCCCTACCCGCTGTGCTATTGCTCCAGCCCAAAGCCATTACTTCCATGGCAAATATAAGTGCAGTTGCCATATGTTGTAGAGTTTGAAAGTGGATGTGACTGCAAGCATTTGGCACTAGTCCTATCTCCATTAAAATAAACTGGAAACCAGTGCTTTGTCTCTGCCAGTTTTTCCTTTTTCCATCTGCTACCAGCATATATGTTAAATTTAGTAGTAGATAGAGCACTTGGTCATCCATAAGTGTTGTGTTTGAGCAGGAGTTTAAAGCATAAGATTAATTCTCTAGGCAGAAAGGTCTGACAGGAAAAAGGTGTGGAAAACAGAGGAAAACTGAGCACAGATCATTTTAAGAGACTGAGGGGCCTCGAGAAGGATGTCACTTAATTGCCAGATTGTATTCCAGGGCGTTGCTGGCGGCAGCTTATGTCTGATGAAGGAGAGGGGCCTTTTCCCCATTAGTTCTGGCTCACTGGCCACTGACTAACTGGATCTGTTGCTTGCTGTGGTTGCATGTGGTAGAACTGGCCCAGGGAAAAGGGAACCCCCTTTACGGCCCCCCTCCCCCCAAGATAATGAATACCTGGTCCAAATATCCTTCTTTCACCTGATCTGTTCAATGCTTCTAGGTATTCTTTAACCCCATTTTAGTTGAGCAGAATCTAAGATTTCCTTCCTTTCTTAGGCAAAAAGACGGTGCTCAGAGGCTGGGCCATATCAGGGATCAGCCGCTTCCTGCTTTATCACTTGAGCTACTTCCTGAGCTACCCCCAAATTTTAAGTTAGTATTTATTTTTTCCTTTGGAGAACCTGGCAGGCTACCAAAAGTATCCTGCCCACACGGCAGAGTCTGGCAAACTTCCGACGTCATACTCAATATGCCAAATACCAGTAAAAATGATGGGTCTCATTCTCCTAATCCTGAAAGAGCATTGAAATGGCTCTTTTAAAGTCTCAGGGCTAGGAAGAAGGAGACGTTACTGGTGCCTGCTTGAGGAAATCGACGAACAACAGGATGATCGTGATTTTAAGACTCAAACTCGAAATGTGTTTTATAATTCTAGGGAAAGATGAAAACGTTTTTCGTTACTGCAGATGATGTGATTATCCGTGTCGAAAGCCCAGGAATGTCAGACTTAGTTGAATATGAGCTTTGTAGGCTTTCTATCATTTATGAAAGAGGGTGGCCTTGCTCCTCTTTATAAAACTAGCCCCTTTGTTATAGATTAACTGTCCATACCTTTGACAGCTTATCTCCAGGCTTCCAGTTCAGTTCTATTGATCTGAGAGTCTGTCTTTGTTCTAGTACCAGGTGGCTTTTATTACTATAGCTTTATAATAATAAAGTCTAGAAATGTAATGCCTCCCATTTTTTTTTTTGTCTGAGAATTGCATTGTTTGGGAAGTTTTACATTCCTTATGAATTTTAGAAGTAATTGTTTTATGTCTTTAAAGAATGCTCTGGGAATTATGATAGAGATTAAATTACATCTGGGCTGGAGCGATAGCACAGCGGGTAGGGCGTTCGCCTTACAAGCAGCCAACATGGCCGACCCGAGTTCGATTCCTCCGCCCCTCTCGGAGAGCCCGGCAAGCTACCGAGAGTATTCGATATGCCAGACACAGTAACAACAAAGTCTCCAATGGAGACGTTACTGGGCCCGCTCGAGCAAATCGACGATCAACGGGAGGGCCTTTACCTTTACCTAAATTACATCTGTGGACATATTACTTTAGGTAATATGGTCATTTTATTTATGTTGATTCTTCCAATCCATGAACAAGGAATATGTTTTCA